ATGTGACTTATGATTTAAATTGTTGTTCATAAGAATAAAAAATAATGCATTTTTGTACTCTTTATTGAAAAAAAAATAAAAAATTACATTTTATTTTAAAATTGTTTCAATTTGTGACTATACACGATAAGGCTTATGAGATATATTACAAGACTTAAAAAAAATAAATTTTATTAAGAACAAATACATCCTACAGACAGTGTAGCTTTCAATTTGAAATAGAAGTATACAAGGTGATTCTTTTAGGGCCTATATTAGAAACTTTTTAACTTCTAAGGCAGATAGAAATTTGTAATTTTGTACACAACTTAAATCGACCAGTCTAAGTTCAATTAAACTATTTTCAAAATGGCTGAACTTCCGGAACTACGAGAAATTGGCGCCAACTTTGAAATTTTAAATGATAACCACTAATTTTTATTGCATTTTTGAATTCTCCTCTCCAAACAGAGTAAAATGTACCTAGTTGATAGTACTTATCTGTCATAGTTTTTGACATATGTCAATTTTTTGCTCAAAATTTTCATTTGCAGAGGTTTATTAAAAACATCACAGCTCTTGAACCGTTTGCGATAAGTGAATATTTTTTCTTGCATTCGATAACCAAGGATACGAAGAGTTTTTTAAAATTTTCAATATTATCCACTGTCAAATTGCAAAGCTTATATGATTTTTTGAAAATGATATTTAACAAACAGCTATAACTCAGTGTTTTCAAATAAAATGACCCGATTTTCTCAACGGCAATCGAAAGTATATTGATTTGTATAAGGACTTTTATCAACATGTCCTATACCCATCTCTTACAGTTTCTGAAATAATCACGAAAAACATGTTTTTGTTTTTTATTTGGTAAACAAATGGTAAACATATCGAACATCTGTATTAATTATGGTATAACTTATTGTATTTTTCCAAAGCTTACGTGATTAACTATAAAAATAAAAACAATAACATGTTTTTTGAGATTATTTCAAAAACTGTAAGAGATAGGTATAGGACATGTTGATTAAAGTTCTTCTACAAATTGATGTACTTTTGATTGCCGTTGAGAAAATAGAGTAATTTTATTTGAAAAAACTGAGTTATAGCTGTTTGTTAATGACCATTTTCAAAAAATCATATTAGCTTTGCAATTTGACAGTCGACAATTTTGCAAATTCTATAAAACTTTTCGAACCTTTGGTTATCGAATGCAAGAAAAAATATTCACTTATCGCAAAGGATTCAAGAGCTGTGATGTTTTGAATGAACCCCTGTAAGTGAAAATTTTGAACAAAAAATTGACATATGTCAAAAACTATGACAGATAAGTACTAACAGCTTGGTACATTTTACTTAGTTTAAAGAAGAGAATTCAAAAATGCAATAAAAATAAGTAGGTACCATTTAAAATTTCAAAGTTGGCGCCAATTTCTCGTACTTCTGGAAGTTCAGCCATTTTGAAAATAATTTAGTTGAACTCAGACTGGTTGAGTTGGGTTGTGTACAAAATTTCAAATTCCTATCTGCATTCGAAGTTAAAAAGTTTCTAATGTAGGCCCTAAAAGAATCACCTTGTATAGTAATTTTTCAACATTAAGAAGCATTGCTATATCTAATTCTTTTTCATAAAAAATAGCTCTCAGGTGTATTGCTATTAAGAGTTTAAATCAAGTAAATAATACAATAATCTTATTCCGTTCATCTCTTCATATTTACGAGGTAAAATCCACTTTGCCTTAACGATGAGTTGCCTATGAGTTCGACTCCGGGGAGATATAAAGACTATTATTGCATTTTCTTGCAAAGATTGTTAGCTGGCAAAGAAAGTGACTATTTGTTTCTCTAAAATGTTAATTATTTTTGTTACAAATACCTAAAATACAGTTATTTTACGAGGCAAAGCGCCCAAAAACACGTTATTATGTATAATAAATTTCGCGAAAATAGTGGTTAAAGTAACTATTTCACGTAATATTTCATTGAGTTTAAAATCAACGGAGTTTTTGTAATGTTCTTTGTGTCTCTTTTCCTTTTTCACTTAAATTAGCGACAGCGCAAACAAATATATGACACGACCGGGATTGGCCTTTTGGGTCTTTCGAGGATTGTGTCCGCCTCGATTAATAAAACTTTGCGTGAATCGTTTTACATTATCCTTTTTCACGCCCAATTGTGTCATTATTTTTATTTTAAAATAAATTTAATTTGCGTGAATGTAAAAATTGTGAGAGAATCGACACGATTCGTGTGACTAAATTCACACATTGTTGGCTGGCAGACATTCTATTCAACACTTCGTGACTTCATCTTTGCTTGAGAGACTCAACTATTGACGGTGTGGGATTTCCGACTTGGAAAATAAACAGCACGATGTTTTATGACTGTCCTTTGGGTTAAGCGCGACATTTGACACTTAAAACAACAGCTTTTGGTTTTGAGAGGTGACAAATAAATCTCACAGACAGCGTGTTACATATTCCATTTTCGAGTTTCAAGTATTTATTTTAAAGATTTGTTGTAGAAAAAACATGGAGCGTAAAAACAGCTATTTATGTATCAAGTACGCAAAATAAGATTTTAGGGTACGAATCGTAATTAATGATTAATGAGAGTAGTCACCTAAAGCTCCCAAAACACGAATTCACACCTCTTACTAATTAAAAAAAATTGATACCATTGTAACCAATTTTACTTTTTAGTCTGCAAAAGCTGTTTTTTGGGACTGAGTACCTAAAATAATCAATCGTTTTGCAACCGTTTTGCAAATGAGTCCCTAAAACGGTTGTTTTCGGGAGCGTATACAAAAAAGTTTTTATTTTAATTAAGTACT